AATGTTCCCTGCGTAGCAGTAGTTTTCACACAGCATCTGTTAAGCAGGTAGTTAATGTTGACATGCATTGTTGGTGGCGTTAACAATGCCCACTCATACTTGAATCACTCACCTTTCGCGTGCTTCTGAGTCTTGCGTGACGAGGACGGCAGCTTAGTTAGCGCTGTACGACTTTGAGGTGGAATCAAGTCCTTGGGATATCAATGGGAACGGCTCGGGTTGGATTAGGAATATAAAAGCTATCACCACCGGCGTTTCAAATCAAGGAACGTCCGTTCCGTTGAGGCTTACATTAGGTTGTATTGTTCATTGTACATCAAAGATTATGTGTGTACTTTGTAGGTGTGTGTTTTAAGCGTGTCCTAGGTTAGTTAAGTCTGTTAGCTGGCCTACCCAACGAGCCAGAGTAACAAAATAATAAAGTAGGTCTTTAATACCGAGGAGGACAAAACATGCTTTATAAGGATACTCTCATCAACACAGCGACGTGTGAGGCTGCCGCGCAAAACCGTTCTGGATGGTGTATTTCCTTCAGGTCTGCCAGGTAGCGGAGGTTGCACAGGCAGAGAAATTAAGAAAGACTAAAGAGAATCTTACTGCTGATTCCACACTTACTGCGGCTTCCATATGTTGTCCTCTCAGCCCTAAAACTGGCAAGGCTCATACTGGACTAATCAGCCACCTTTGAACTTATGATCATTGATCGTTACTACTTTGGATGAAAGTGGTTTTCATCACTGGTGATAAACGTCCAACACTTCTGCATCTAGTTAAGTTGCAAATTGATTTTTGAATTGTGACTTGCCCTGCCGGTGTTTTTATTTATTTTTATTTTTTTGGGTGCGAATATCGAGTAGTTACAAGTAAACAAATGTATGTATTAGTATAATTGTAAATTATTACCGTTGTGTCATATACATTAATGTGGTGGTGCCAACTCTAAGATATAGACATATAATGTATGTCTCCAATGCCAAGGTTTGGATGCAGGCATTTCTGGCATTAGTAATTGTTTCATTATTTTTTTTTAAACTGAGAAGCTCTATAAAATAATAATCATAGCCTCATCGACATCGTGTAGCAGGTCCTTTGCAGAACGTCGCTCTCGTTACAGTCTGCTTGAAAGAAACTCGGTCTCTCGCCAGTTCTCCTGCCTCATGTACCTTCACACCCAAGGAGTCATTTATATCCTGTGCCCATCTTCGTGTCGGTCGGCCCCTGCCCCTCCTTCCTGGTACCATGCCTTCTGCTATACTTTTTTCCAATCCGCCCTGGCGCTTGATATGACCAAAATATTTCAGCTTCAGAGACAAGATGCTGTTTATTAGCCAATGATGTTCAGAGCTTTCAAGATGTCAGTATTTCTCATCTTCTTTGTCCAAGATATTCTGAGAATCTTTCTATAGCATTTCAGCTCAAAAGTCAATTTTCTCTAAAAATAATAATTGCCTAGATTGTGTAATTTCAGTTCGAATATTCTTTAATTTGTATTTGTGTTTGTGGAAACTAAATAATTTGAGAGAGCGGAAACGAACACTGACATTGTGTGAAAAACAGACACAGGCGTCTAGTCACTGTATAAATAATCTGGTGCACGACTTCGATAGATTGGGCATATAGGGCTAGACCTATATTTTATAGGGGAAACGCCGTGATGTAGCTTTAAGACGCTCACCTGCGGATCGGAAGGTCGTGGGTTCGGTTCCTGACCTAGCCGGACTCTTTAAAAATGGCCTTGGATCTCTGGTTGACCCAATTTTAAATTGTAACAGGTAAAGTCCAGAGAAGTAAAGGCGGGCAATGTGATGCTGACCGCATAACCCACTGAGTGCAGTTTAGTCTAAATAATTTAGGTCTGGCCTAAATGTCCAGTGCGTCTAAAAGCCTGCAATTGGTCTGTAGTTTTACTTTATTCTATTTCTAAAAGCGTACAATTGGTATGTACTTTATTTTATATCTAAAAGCCTGCACTTGGTCTTTAGTTTTACTTTATTCTATATCTAAAAACAAAAATGTCTGGCTCCGACAGGACCTGAATACGAATATCCATTGGTAAATGTCCATTTCCGTTCAGCAGAGTTGTATCACAGTTACAATGTTGTATCCAAGTTTGGAATGGTGCATGTTGTGATAACGGACTGTTTAATGTGTTGTTTGTTGTTGTGACACACTCAAATATTGAGTTAATGTCAAACTGTGCTCTTATCGAAATCCTTCCAGTGAGATGACACGTGGTAGATTTAACTCAACAATAAGGAGATAAAAACAGAGTCACGCAAACGCACACACACACACATATATACGCACACACACATATGCGCACACACACACATACGCGCACATGCAAATACATAAACGCCTATACACACACGGCAACATCTGTAAATACACAAACAAGACGAAAACAACGACTGCAACAGTTTGTGAACATTCAATATACACTCAGTAACTCAGTTTTCTTTAACTTGTATTTTATGTATGAAAGTGGAATAAGAACAAAACGTATAGACTGATAAGACATGTTGTTTTTGTAACGGATTTTTCTTATAGTCGGAGTACATTTCCTGTATTACGATTTGAAACAAAGAATAATAAACGGATTGTACTTCCAAACTCAGGTAAGATAAAATTTGTCGTCCATTTAGACGAACAACCCTACGCCGGCTCTTGCTAGGTGAACAAGAAGAAGAATAAGTAACGGATTTTCCTGTATAGTTTCATTTCCTGTATTACATTTGACTAAGAATAATACAAATTGTACTTCCAGTCCTTTTTAGGATGCAATTTGTCGTTATTTAGAGCCCTACTCTGGCTCTTGCTAGGGACCGCAATATAGCCTGGTTTAGCGCCTAAAGGTGATGTCCTTCTGGGACATCTAGTAATCCTCATCCACATGGTGGCACATTGTGTTATCGGGTGTTTAGCGCTTGTGTGATGTCCTAGTGGGGTAGTAAGTCAGTCAGTCATTCAGATACAAACAAAACATTTACCCTGACATGTTTCGGTTTTTCTTTGTAGCGTGCATTACTATCGACTTCAAACAAATACTTAACAAAGTTAAAAGCAGGATTTAAAATATAAATAACTGAAATAACAGTTTAGTAAACGTCAAACAGTTTGTTGTGTTGTGACTGACAACTATGCATTCACTGGTGTCGATCCACGTTATCCATTTTATCCGTGGTTTGATGAACAAACGGTGACAACTTGAATAATTCCTTACAAAAATGTTAAAAGAGTTTCTTGATTTGTGTCCTGTTTAATTCTTGTGTAAGACATTCTTTAATATATTTGTCTAGAGCAGATGTATAATTTGGTGCATCGGTAGACCAGTGCTGAATGTGACTTAGTGTAAGATTCGCCTAAAGGAAAGATGCACGTGTTTCTTGGAGTACCATATAACCTCAGCTAACCTATCGTTATTAGAGACAATCCCCGTCCCCATGTGAGACAAATACTTTCTAACGTCCTTCTTAGGACGTTATTTTTTGTTATTTGAAGCCCCACTCTGGCTTTTTGCCAGGGGCCGCAATATAGGCAGGTCATCATTATGGCCAAATGTCTGAACGCGGTTTCTGGGACCTCTCCACGGTGATCCTCATCCGCATGGTGGCACTTTGTGTCATCGGGTGTTTATCGCTTGTGTGATGTCCTGGTGGGGTAAAAAGCCAATCCCATCCAATCCATGTGAGACGATAATACTTTTCGGCCTTTTCAGGATGACATTTTTCGTTATTTGAAGCCCTACTCTGGCTCTTGCCAGGGGCCGCAATATAGCCTGACCATAAATAAGGCCTAAGGGTTGAACGCGGTTTCTGGGACCTCTCCACGGTGATCCTCACCCACATGGTGGCACATCGTGTCATCGGGTGTATATTGCTTGTGTGATGTCCTTGTGGGGTAGAAAGTCAGTCAGTCAGTCCCATGTGAGACGAATCTTTCATCATTTTTAAGCAAAACCCTGGTTTTTGCGGGGGCTCCTAATATAACCTATTTGTTCAACGAGGTTTCAGGAACCTCTCAACGTGTGATCCTCATTTGTGGGATGGCACTTTGTGTCACCAGATCGCTCAGTGTGATGTCCGAGTGGGGTAAAAAGTATGTCTCTGTCTGTCTAGTATTAAAATGCTTCTGCCACATATGCGATGCAATTTTAATGCCCCACACCGGCTGCTGTCCAGCATAAACTAGCTTTTGAAAGGAGTTCTGGGACATGTGATCGGGTGATCCTCATCCGAATGGTGGTACTTTGTGCCAGCGGGTGTTGGTTGCTGGTTGTTAGGTCCTAGTGGCGTTAAACGTCACTGGCTCCTACGACACTCGACTTTAATTTTCAGATAATTCTGAAGTCATCCTGTGTGCACGAGTTCTAAACAGCGGACCATTGAATTCCTAGCCCTAGGCAATATTGTGGTCCGGTCGCCGTTTTTTGTGATTGTGTTTAGCTTTCAGTGTTCTGTTTTACGTTGAGATGTTTTTGACGTTCCAGGGCTGTTGAGTCACCAGCATATTACAGTGTATTGTTTCCAATGATATTGTCCTTTAGTAGCAAACACGAAAATAAGTATTTCTTCAGCAGTCGATGCGTGTCAGGTAGTCTGTTTTGGACCACTTTGGTGTCTTGACCCGTGTCCCCGATGCTGGTTGAGCACGGCCTTGTTTGTCAGCAATAAAGGGCTGTTCTATGAACTTCTGGAAATTCTGAGACCAAGAACTGTTTTGTCTGCTTTCGCAGCTGCTGCAGCCAAGCATCATGTTGTTTTGTAATATATTGCAGAGCCTAGACATTTAAAGTGTGTGATATTTTCAATTCGTTTATCGTTTGTCATTCCAGGGTGTATTATTTTATTTGTATTTAAATTAAAGAACAAGTTTTGATCTTCACTGTGTTTTTTGGACAGATATGATTGAATTGTAAATTCGCTTTACATTGTTCGAAAAGAGGACTGTGCAATCTGCATAGCGAAGTTCTGAAATAGTTTTGCCATATAGTATTTGCATCAGAACCGTTGACATATAGAGAACAGTTTCCGTAGAGCACGTCTGAATTTGGAGCTCATCTTGCAGAATATGAAGATATTGACGCTGGAATTGATCGCCTCGGCCAAGAAAGTAAAAGACCACAGTACGTTAAACATTATGGAATATTTGCCTGTTAGGCTGAATCCAGGCAAGAAGAATGTAGCGAAGTACATGACAAATGCCGGACTGAAGCAGATAATAACCATCATTGCCACTAAGGTGACCAGCTTCAATCTTCTCCGGTCTCTGATTCTTACAGCGTTGTCACGTTGACCAACTGTGGTTAAAGTTGCCCTCCAGGCTGACCTACGCTTCAGACTGACCACAAGCAGAGTGGTCAACACAATGATGATTATAAAAGTTGCTATTTCAATAATCGCATATAGTTTAAACTCCAAGTGTTCTAGATGTTGTCCTTTGTCCCTGTACATTAAGCCAACCCGGGTTTGATTTCTTGAGGAAATAAACTTTTCCCCAAAGTACAAACCACCGTATAACGGCATTAACAACACAAACATTGCAGCATAAACAACGCACACAGTAATTTTTATTGTTCTAGGGTTAAATAGTTGTTTTACATTCAACGGAAAAGCCACACAACAGAACCGCTCGGCCGTGACAATAATGGTTATCCAGATAGTTATTCGAGCAAAACAGGCATGTGGCCAGCCTCCTGTTAAGTATTGTATGTCCATCGGCTCAAATGGAACATCAGCTCTGTCCATGAATGGATTTAAATTTATGTTTACCCATTCGAGCGTGACTAAACTACACAGATCTGACAAGGAGATGGCAAATAGACTAATGTTGACAGTATCTTGAAGACCAAGTTTGTAAAATATGATAATGTTGATAATGTTGGCAACGATTCCAAGAAGACACACTGCTCCACTGAGTACCAAGTGGTTCACTATTTGTACCACACAAAGATCTGCCTGACTCAAGAGGAGATGGGGCATTCTCGTAGTGTTCACGGAGTTGCGACCCCGCATTGCGGGTGTAGAGCTCTGATTGAACAACATCACGTACCTTAAGACGTCTACAGCGTTCGGTTAACACAGCCAATTGGCAGTATCAACCTAATTACAATGGATAAGCAATCAAATCAACACCACTTCGCTCACTGTTACCTCCCACAATATCTGTAGCTACCCAGTTTAACCTGGGTCGAATTGACATATTATAAACCAGTTAATACTTCGTGGGTAATCAAATCAGCAAAGCGTCGGTCACTCTTACCTCCAACAATATTTACCCAGTTTAAGCTTCGTCGACCTGAAGACGAAGGTCATATGTTTCTCATTTTCCTAATGCGGATTCAAAGAACATCAGTCTAACAGGCGAGTGCCCAGACAGTACTCTGTAGCACGTCCCCAGCGGATATGATCACTATCAAACAAGAGTGCTGCATCTCTCGAACATTTACGGTACTTTTACGACAATTTCTAATTCAGGACCAGGTTCAATGTTTTAAATACATTGACCTCGATATTGATACGCGAATCGACCATCAGGACAGTCAGCATTCGTGGTGGTCATTGTGCTGAATCAGCTCAAAGCTCGGTATTTAACATTTCCACAATGGAAACCATCACTATAGTGTTACTTTCACTAATAAGTAAAATCAGTGAAAACCTAAATGTAGATTTCATGTTAACCTTGGTTTTTATTGAGTCTATTGTCTTATCTGTTGAGTTTGCCACTTACATATTGTGCTGTATCATCACTAAGTTGAAGAAGACTTTAGTCAGAACATTTGGTTGCGTTTGTTTGCGTCTTTTCCATTCCCTCCATTGAGCTTTCTAGTCAAACTGTTTTGTTTCGCATTTTTAATGAGTGTGAAAGTCCGTTCACTCAATGCAAGCAACAGAATAATTCACATACAGTGCAGCTATAACTATAGTCTTGAAGTCGCAATAAGTAGGAACAGTGAAACCCTAGTAACACAGTGCAAAGAACAATGTAGTCCACATACAGAGAAGCCATCACTTAAGTCTTGCAGTCCCAATAAATAAAAACAGTGAAACCCCATTTACACAGTGCAAGCAACAACATACTCTACATACAGTGCAGAAAAGAAAATATACAACTAGGAGAAAGCTATTATCGCCGAAGAGACGAATGCTTACTGTCTCTTTGATTATAAGCAAAGTCTGGCTTTTAACCAACGAGCTGTTTGAATACTGCACTTTATTTGAGATTAGCAAGAAGAGTTGTCCCCGGGCTCGGTTGAAGCAGATTTTGGATTAATGAATAATGAATTTATGGCAGACTTAGAGACCGAGAGAAATCAGACGTGTGCATTTAGGAGTACATTATATAATTGACGTGACAGCATTATCACGTGCCCTGTGGAATAACGGGGAATCGTTGTTTTCCACATCTTACTATTTCCAACTGGAGCCGCCGTTGTGTAGCAGCTAGACTCTCGCTCGTGGATCGGAAGGCCCTAGGTTCGCATCCTGTCGATGCCAAACGTTTTTTTTTTTTTAAATGATCTTGGCTCCCAGGTCGACTCAGGCTTGAGTGAGTAGCAAAAATAGTCCGGAGAAGTAAAGGCGACGGTATTATGTTGACCACATAGAACACCAAGTGACGATTGGTCTATAAAATGTAAGTCTAGCCCTACGAGTGAAAGCCTGGAAACGTGTGCTTTACTTTTACTGCATCTAACAGAATGTGTCAGTGTGCTATCTTCTCATGACATCTAACAGAATGTGTCAGTGTGCTATCTTCTCATGACATGATAACAGGTGTCACAGCTGTCTCTTGTTGGCTTACACTTCATCGTAATGTGTTATCATGTTTAAATAGATACGTTTGAGTGAAGTGCAAGCATAGGTGTATGTGTGTATGTATGTATAAGTGTATTTGTGTGTGTACGTGTTTTATATATATATATATATATATATATATATATATATAATAAATCAATGTTTGTGTGTTTGTTTGCCCCCTATGGACTCGGAAACTACTGAACCGATTTAGATGAAATTTTCAGGATATGTTTGTTTTGACACCGGATGTTGAACCATCATGGTTTGAAATTCAACCTGTCACTGTTAGAGATAGGTGACCACAATTTAAGCCATAATATTCGAAACTAATATTTATAATTTTAGTGATTTCTAATTATAGCCACGTTAGTAATTGCGCATGCGCCGTGCAGCCAACACCTCCTCTAATACATATAGGTCGTGGTACAGCAAACAAGACTATATCTATATCTGTGCAGGCAGTGATTGCCACAATAACTATTTTAGACACGATTTCTATTTTCTGTTTTTTTTTTTTTTTTTTTTTTTTTTTCAAACATTCTTCGATGAGTTGAAAAGTAGCCGATGGATTGGTAGGGAAAAAAGAGGGGGGGGGGCATCAGGGACTATCTCGACGTCTGCGCAGACATTGACTGCGACATTAACCGTGTTAGACACGTGCGATTTCTTTTGTTGTGCCGTTTCATTAATATATTTGGAATATCTGTCGATGAGAAAACAATTGCCTGCTGTTTTGAGTTGTGTTATAATCGGGACGGTGCAGTAGGGACACACATCCAAAATAGTTATGTTCTCTTTTCGTTATTCCGATCGAGTGGTTGCTTGGTCGAATGGTTAGAACACTCGGCTCTTGAGAGGGAGACCAGGGTTCGAATCCGCAGTAGTTTTTTTTTTTTTTTTTTTTTTTTTTTTTTTTTAACTGAGGGCTAAAATAAAATCCTCACCTGCACTGTCGTGGCGACAGCACTATCCATGTGGCCCTTAATGATATATATTTGAAAAAAAAAAAAAAGACAGGTTTGTGGGTAAACCAGTTGATAATTAAATTTGACCATTTCACATACTTATGATTTCATTTTAAACTGTTCGATTGCATGGTTACGCTGAAATTTCATAGCTTTCCATTTTTTTTTTTTCATTTAGATTTAATTACTTCATCTGCGTTGGAATTTTAAGCTGTGCTGTTTACCATAGCGTTCATTTCCTAATTCTGGTGTATTTTTCCTGTTTTAATCGCTTTTCAATTGGTTTTTTTCCCCTCTCAACTACTTCGATGAGGGAAAGAGTAGTCGGTGAATTTGGGGGGGGGGGGGGGGGCAAACTGATTACTGAGAGAGCTTTAAGTCACAGTAACTGCTTTACCCACTCAAAGTAGCAGCAGCAGTAGTAGTTGTGGTTGGACGGTTACACCGTAGTGCTCTCATGTGAAGACCGCAGGTAAGGTTATAGCATTCTTCTGTTGGGAAGCGAAATTATACATCCTAACCTGACCAGTCCGTGGCGACAGCACTAGCCATGCGGGGCCAAATCTTCTGGCTCACGACTCCCTGTCTACTCCGATGGTAAAACAGATAGCAGTGAAATTATTTTAGCTACTGTGGTGGTGGTCGTGGTAGTAGTTGTACTGGTATTTGAAGGATGATGCGGTAAATATTACATTAGCCCCATTCACTACCTATTACAATTCCTGCTCCCAATTTAGTCCGGATGGACAGGGATGTCAATGTCAGTTACAACAAAAAGAATATCGCCAGGTGATGATTTTTCAATCTTTCGAAGAGGGAGAGAGCAGTAGTCGGTGGAAGAGGGGAGGGGAGAGGGTAAAGACTGAAATTTAAGAGAACTTGAAGAGCTTTACGCATGATTTTTAAGTTCTCATTACTTACTTAAATTGTTTATATTTTACTAACGCTACCTTCACTATTCTAATTTTTGTACGACTTACTTTGTTATTTACAAGTACAGTAGTAGCTTTACTTACGTCTCCTTTAAAAATACAAACAGCTTTAGCATGTGATAACCAAATAACCACTTTTGTTACTGTGCTAATAGCACCATTTAAACGACCACTAATATAAAGACACAATTATATGGTGCGTGTTCTAAAGTTGGAAAACCAGACTATCTCTATATAAATGTGCAGAGAATAATTGCGACATTAACTATATTAGACAGGTGCGATTTCCATTGTCTTTCTTTTCCAAAAACCTTTGATGAGGGAGAGGGTAGTAGATGGATTTAGTTGTAGGGGGAGGGTGGGGTGGGGATCAAAGACTATATCTATATCTGAGCAGACAATGATTTTATTAGACACGTGCGATTTCTATTTTCATTCATTTCCATTTAGCCAAACTATGCCACAGCAACGCGTGGCTGGGTACAGCTAGTATATATATATATATATATATATATATATATATATATATATATATATATATATATATATATATATATATATTAGTTAGTTAGTTTAGTTAGTTAGTTAGTTGGGTTATCCTCATTGCACTCCGGACATGTCCATAGGTGCTCAGATCCTCCCCTCAGTATGAACCCCAACGTCCGATGGCTAATAGTACCAGTTCTATGTTGATTAACAAGTCTTCTGGCGTAGCTGGTGTGCGTCTCGTTTTTTGCTGTGCCGATCTTAATTCCCAAGTCTGCCATTCTGGCGAGTGATGTGGATTCACTGCCACCAAAGTCCTCTATCCTTCCCATTTCTCTGAGGGCATTGATAATATCAGCATGATCCATAGGCTGACCGTCGGTAGTGATAGCGGATCCAGCCAACCTGTCAGCTCTTTCATTTCCATCGACGCCTGCGTGTCCCGGAACAAAAATAAACGTGACTCCACGAACAGTGGACTTCTGTAATGATTCAAGCCATTGTCTTCGCACTGAACCTGCCTGAATCCTCCGGATCATACTCATTGAATCACTGAGTATACACACGCGGGTGTATTTTTGTGTTTCAAGCCAGGCAAGCGCTTGGGTCACTGCCATCACCTCCATCGTCATGCTGCTGGTTGTCATGGAGAAGGCGCAGTTGGCTTCTTTGACTGTTCTGCCCGCTGAGCGTGCTGTAAATGCCCATGCGCTTCTTCTTTGGCGTATAACGGATCCGTCTGTATAGATTATTGCATCTGCTTCGTCTGAATTTTCACCGATGAGAGCGTTGACCTCTGCATTAACAGCAACAGGATTCTCTTCTCTACATC